TTTTACTAGTTTGTTTCGTCTAAATTGTATGAATTGTAGTTTTCTGTAGCCCAGAAAATGCTCTTTATATTCAAATACTTTATATTTACATCGATGGAGGCCGCCATGTTTTTTTACATTAGTTCAGACTGAACCAACTAAACACCTTTTGAGTTTTTATGAAAGTCTACCACAGGTTCTTTGTCATGTTTGGATGAGAGGGTGAGGTGAGGGGTGTTCAGCTGCAACATGCAACTTCAACACTAGATATCATAAACTTCTACACACTGAACCTTTAAGTGTTTTATGTTCGAAATAAATAAAAATGAATGAATGAATAACACCTGTACCTGGATGTGTTGAGTTGAACAGTGGGTGGCGCTAGAGAGTCAGAGGAAGTGGGGTGGGGTGGGGGGGGGTTGTTTACCGATGGTCTCCACCTTCCTCTCAGCAGCAGCTAACTGTGCTAACTCAGCTAAAAACTCAGCTAACTCTCATTCCTGCTGACAGCACACATTCTCTACGTGGGTCAGCTGACACCAATGTGATGCTAGCATGTTAGCTTAGCAGTTAGCTGGAAGATACAGTAACAGTGAACCGTGGGCGCGGAGTTTTGGCTCTTTAGCCTGACAAGTAGGTGGAAATCGCTTTTGTGAGACACCGACTAACCAAAGGAAGGAAGAGGAGGGGTGACATGAAAGCCACTACCTGTTAAACACTAGCACGTTAGCAGCCAGGAAGCGAGTCCTTCCTAGCAACCGTAGCTATCTAGCCGTGACAGCAGGTTAAGCTAACAGGCGGGCGTCTTCATGGAGAGCTGCGAGGTGCTCGCTGAGATCTGGGGATAAGCTCGACGTTATGCGAACGGACTGTGAGGTAAATGTTGGTTAAATGGCAAAAACCGAGCAGGGCGATGGGCTGGAGTCTCGGGGCGCCACAGACAAGCTGACAGACAACGGGAAGGGCGGCGTGTTTGGAGCGGAGTTAAACGGCGGTGCAATCCAGGAGGAGGACCGGGTGGATAAGTACGGATTCACCGGGGGAGCCCAGCAGAACTCCGGAGAATCGTAAGTGGAGTTTCACGCACACAGACTGTTCGGTTCGATTGCCACATGGCTGCAGTGTTTTTCTTTCACTCAGCTGAACACAGGCAGAAGGTCTCTGGTTCTCACATTCACACACTGTCATGAAACCAGATTGTGATTGAGCTGATTATCCGTATACATAGCACAGGCTTACATTCAATAATAATCTATCAGTACTGCAATCTATTTTTTATCATTAATAACACAGGTCCAATATGAATATATCTGTTGGTAAAATACATAATTGTTAAAATGTTTGGCTGTGTGTTTTAAATTTTTCATTCTCTGCCCATAAATAAAAGTTTAAACCCACAACTTTCAAAAATGTATCGTGATTTACTATCACTATCGGCTGATATGAACATTTTTATGAGCACCAAGATGCTAGAGATAAGAACCCAGGGCTGATCAACCTGTGGTGGTCCGGCCTTAGAGGAGGGTGTCTTGTGATCAAAAGGCCGAAACACATGATGACACAAAGGTACACAACTGAAGATATGTCCCTAACGTTCGCTGGTGGTCACTAACATCAATTAGCGCTGTAGAACATATTCTCCATCTTAGTTTTCAAAGAGGGAACGATGTCTGATCTACTGAGACATATTGTCCAGTCCTAATTTATAGCTTTGTCTCTTGTCACCTGGACCAGCGGTGGTCAACCCTTTTTTGCCTTGTCTACTTTGAATGTCACAGCTTCCATATGTTAATCAGTTATGAGCACATTAAGAGAACGGTTTCCTTCTTCTTTCATTATGTTTTAAAAGCAGGAAGGTACCTGTTAGTTAACCTGAAAAATAAAAAATAGGGACTAGTTTACAAAAGAACTGGTTTACCATATGTTTTTTTTCTTCCAATGTCAATTCATTAGGGAGGCCTACGTTTGGAAACTACAGACTTACACCACTGTAATTCCCTTTAAAGTCTTATCAGTCCATATTCATTGTTCCCAC